TGCAGTTATCAAGCAGTAGATTAGTTCTAAAGGGAATGTACCCCTTCAGAGTACATCGCTAGCTAGTACTTCTTACCTTCGTCTGTACTATTATATTCACCTCTATATCGCTCTCGATTTTTCATATTGTTCTTCTAAGTTAACTTTCGCAAGGTCACCAATTAATCACAACCAGGCTCCTAGATTGCGAGAGAAATTTCCTGATTCAGGAAGTATTTGGAGCGTTCTCTGGTACCAAACCTGATTGTGCATGACTTTTTCTGAAGCTTGTCATGAATATATAGAAAATATCTAGGGAACTTAAACCTTTCAACAAGGATTCCTAAAAAATGAGGCAAATTCTTGTGGGGATTCCTGATGGATCAGGACACCTAAATGTCGAGAAAGTAGGAATAGCTAGGACGCCATGACTATGGCGGCAGGGTTTAGCTAGGAGGAAGGAGAGGAGAATGTCGAGAGAAAAGGTGGATCAACTAGAAGAGAAACAGGTACAAGAAGGGGAGTTATCCCCTCTACAGTAGGATGCAGTAGTAGCACAACTACCAAGCCTATATAAAATATAATTTGAACACACCCCCTAGGCTTGGTAGTGGCAAGCCCACTCAACCCATACACACACCCCCTAACCCCGGACCCCCTCATTCTCGTGAGCAGCCGGGTATCGACCCCTCATGCTAGGCGATGACACCCCCGGACGAGAGGCAGCTGGCCGCATCTGGGCGGCCTCAATGACGACAGCGGCGGAGCTCGTGCTCAAGGCGGCTGCAGTGATGAGGACAGGCGGCGACTGCGGCGGCTGAGGGCTCTCGGCGGTGTGGCACGGGCTGGCGATGACCGAGCCGAAGACAGCAGCTGCGGCAGGAGGGAGAGGGGACGCAAGGAGAAGGTGTGGTGTGGAGGAGAGGGCGTTGGCTGGCGTGTGGGCGGCGGCAGCGTCACCGATGTCGCACGGTCGGCTGCAGCCCGACGGCGCCGTCAACGAGCGGCGTCGATGCTGCACGACGTGACGTCGATGCGGCATGACGACGACGCCGCGACGTCAGTACGGCGGCGCTGTCACGCCGCGACGGCCCGACGTCGACGGCGTCGCCACCATGAGGCCGCCGCTGCATCTCAGGGAAGGTGCCACGGCGGCAGGCAATCTGAAGGTTGCGAACGCGGCGAAGTAACAGAGAATACGCAGCGGAAGAGTAGTGAGCAGGCCCGGGACGGGCGGCCTGCTCTGAAACCATGTCGAGAAAGTAGGAATAGCTAGGACGCCATGACTATGGCGGCGGGGTTTAGCTAGGAGGAAGGAGAGGAGAATGTCGAGAGAAAAGGTGGATCAACTAGAAGAGAAACAGGTACAAGAAGGGGAGTTATCCCCTCTACAGTAGGATGCAGTAGTAGCACAACTACTAAGCCTATAATTATATAAAATATAATTTGAACACTAAAAACCACTCTAGGGGCCTGTACACAACACTTCTGCTACAAATTCATCCTCTGCGTTCAAACTTGAAGCTCCTACCAAACCCTTGTTATTGCAGCATGGTATGAGAGCCATTCAGTATTCACGCACCTTCCCATCATTGATAATCTCAAATCAAGCACGGTGACTACTACGACAGGCTCCCACCAAAAGATGGCCAGAGACTCAGGACTGAGCAGACAAGGAAGCCCTCCTCACGAAGCTCCCTCCGCCCCATCTTCAAATTCTGTAGCAACAATGGTCGTCAATACCGCGCTACTAGAACAATTACTCTAGCGAATGATATCTCTCGAAAATGGGTTCCAATCTCTCGAGAACGACAACTTGCGCAGCGACTTGGTTTTGGAGGGAAGCGTTTGGACAGTATGTCATGACAGCCCTGGAACATTGGAGTTCGGAACTGGCGCCCCTCTCGCGAACTGCTTGGCAAACAGCCCTTGAACTCTGAGAAATCTTTGGGGGCGGGGAGACAAGGTTTCGTTTCGGTGAACGGATGTCACGTCACAAACGTTGTGGGGCCTTTGTTTGCCTGGTTTGTGAGGGATTCAGGCAGGGCTTACTTTTGGTTTTTAGACACCCTTAAAAAATCAGGCTCCTTGAGCTTCTACCCTAAGTTTTCAAGGTCCAGTGAAAGGCGACCCTTTAGTCATTAGGGTTCGTTCGCACATTATATTTTTTACTGCCACGGCTAGGGACGAGCACGACGGCCAGGGGAGCGGCTAGGGACGGGCGCGACGGCCAGGGGCCGGCTAGGAGAGGGGCAAGACGGCAGCTAGGGCCTAGGGGCGGAAGCGTGGGCGGGCTAGGGGGGGACCTAACCTACTATGATACCATATCAGAATGAATAAGTAGACTAAAATGTGTGAGTACAAGGGTATATAGACTAGGGTGTTGTACCCTCTAAGGCACAATCCAGTATAGTCTACAGTAATGACCTAAGTTACATTTGACATGGACCTCTAACCAACCTACTGCAAAAGGGGACTTGTTACAAGTGGGGGAGACGCAGCAAGCTGCGTTCGAGGCATTAAAAGATATTTCATTATAAAATGCAATCTGCTGAGCGCAACTACCCGGTATGCAACAAGAAGATTCTCGCGATCGTCCACACATTAAAAATCTAGAGGTGCTACCTGATGCAAGCAGACGTGATGGTGCGAACTGACCACAAATCTCTACAGTACCTGAGGCCATTTTCTTCGTAAATGATGGCCATCTCCAAGTCACTACACGAAAAGGCATCTATAACCTAAGAAGCGGGACGGATCGAGTTCGGGTCCCAAGTTATCGTCTACTTCGCGCATGACCAATTCAACAAATCCATGATTCGAAATTATTGGGAAATTTTGGGATTGATAAAACTTGGAAGGTGCTGTAGGAGTTTTATTACTGGCTAGATATGGCGACGGACGCGAAGCATTACGTGGCTGCGTGTCCGATATGCAAGCGCATGAAATCATCACGTCAGCGACCAACTGGTTAGTTGCAGCCCCTCGAGCCACCTCAACCGCCCATGGCAACACGTGAGAATGGATTTCGTTACAGGTCTGCCGGCCGTATTCACCAGAAATGATGAAGTATTTTGTGGTCTGAATGAACAAGTAGAGTAGCGCGGAAATGAATGTCAAAGTGTTGAATAGCTGAATGACAATTGAAGGAATGGCAAGCCAGGATATAGGAACACAACAGCTAGTCCAGCCGTGAGATGCGAGGGTTCGGAAAGGAGATCGAAGGGTCGTGAAGTGACGAAGCGAGGCTCGAAGAACTTCCGAAGGTCGAACTAGAAGGTATGGAAAAGCTGTCTGTTGAACTCCCGAGGCTTCGCATGAGTTTGAGCGTACGCGATAGCAGTACGGCTGGGTAAGGAATGGAAAATTCCTTACACAATTGGAAATTCTATTCTTTACTGGGCTGTACTGCATCGCGTATGCGCAAACTCCCGAAAGACCAGGCTCGGACCCTTTGACCGCGCCTTTGCCCAGCCTAGGCTTCAGAGGCCCTACAGTTGGGCTGCAAAGCGGTGAGGCCAGCAGCGGCGGCTGTGCAACGACGGTTGGCCGTGAGTTAGAGTTATTGACTCACCCAGCTACGATAGCGTTTGCACCCACTGTGCATCTGTTATCAGGGCCATTCCCCTGCCCGCTATACACTGCAGCACGGGGAATGTGGGGTAGAGTCGCTCTTGGAGGGGCATGCAAACCGAGTTGCGCTGCTGCACCACTCCACCCAATCGAACACACCCGTGATTGCCCTTGAACACAAGCATCACTAGTTAAAACCCTTCCCCTCTCTCTCTGACACGCCTGGTCCTCCCTCCCTGTCTTCACCACCTCCCACAACCACTAGCAGAGGCAATGCAAGCAGCACTACATGAAACCCTTCCCCTCTCTCTCTGACACCCCTGGTCCTCCCTCCCTCCCTGTCGTCACCACCTCCCACAGCCACTAGCAGAGGCAATGCAAGCAGCACTATATAAAACCCTTCCCCTCTCTCTCTAACACCCCTGATCCTCCCTCCCTCCCTGCCGTCACAACCTCCCACAGCAATAGCAGAGGCAATGCAAGCAGCACTTAGAACCCTTCCCCCCTCTCTCTGACACCCCTGATCCTCCCTCCTTCCATGTCGTCACCACTTCCCACAGCCACTAGCGGAGGCAATGCAAGCAACGAGGAGCAACGCTGTGGCGAAGGAGCTGATTGAACCATGGCTGAGGGAGTCCAGGTGAAAGATGAGAGTAGAAAGTGGGTTGAGCGAGTAGCAGTTGGGTGCAGGGGATTAGCTGGTGATTTGATGGTAGTGAAGCGATGTGGGCAGCAAGGAGCAACGCAGTGGTGACGGGGCCGTGGGCTAGGGAGTAGCAGGTGGGTGGGTTGAGAGAATAACCAGGTGATTCCTGTGGTCGCTTGTAGCGACGAGGATGCGTGAGCAGCAAGGAGCAATGCAGTGGGTGGCAACGGAGCTCAAGGAGTCCTGGACCATGGCTGAGGGAGCACCATGCAGGTGAAAGGTCAGCATGCAGCTTATGGGGCTGGGCTGCTTCCATCTGGCTCCCATCTGCCTCCCAGGTGCTCCCCCAGAGGGCCCACCCCCACCTGAGCATGTCAGCCACTGCTGGCTGTCTGCTGTGTGGGATGGGGGCAGTTATCCATAATGCATTCGCTGTTGAGACTGTTCCCTTCTCCCTTCTCCCCCCCAGGTGCTCCCCCAGAGGGCCCACCCCCACATGAGCATTTCAGCCACTGCTGGTTGCCTGCTGTGTGGGATGGAGGCAGTTAACCATGATGCATTCACTGTTGAGACTGTTCCCTTCTCCCCTCTCCCCCCCAGGTGCTCCCCCAGAGCTCCCACCCCCACATCACCATGTCAGCCACTAGAGGGTACCTGTTGACTGGGATGAAAGTGGTAACACCATGAAACAAGTAACACCATGAAACCGATTTGTTACGAACCAGCATCCCCACCATGCACACACTGCCCCATCCAGCATATGTCTTCATATGATCCAGTAGTGTTAGCTTCCATTCCAAAATTAATCCTGGTGCCTTTATGGCGCATTAGAGTGAGCTACGAATCCTTGGTACACAGAAACATATCGCTACCTCATGATGTTACCAACCGAAAACACGTCTACTTAACTCATCAAACACAGAGAAACGTAACAAAGCAACAGGTGCGACACCAGGGACAGTCTCACTTCCACTCCACGCCCCTTTATTCCTTATTGCCACGCATCACCCCCTTGCATGCGCGTCTTGCAGGGCTAGTCAGAGCAGCAGCCCTCCATCCTCCCCTCATCGCAGGAAATGCCTAGTAGGGAGTGGACCCAATCATGTTCCCCTGCGGCGAGTAGTCACACACCCACATGCCCCCCCCATCCGCGCACTGGGCAGCAGCGCACCCAACATGCGTGGTATCCCGCCACACCACCTGCGTGTAGTGCCCGCACTGCTTCCCGTCTGCACACCCCTCCGGCACGGCACTGTACGTCCAGTCCTCCTTCTCCGCCACCCACGACTGCACTGCCGCCCGGTCCTCGGCACTGTTCAGCTGCACAGGCGCCTTCCAGTACAGGTTCTGCCCGAGTCCGTCAGCCCCTCCGTGCTCCAGGTTGCATCCATTGGAAGCGAGCTCAGCTGCCCACTGCTGCGCTGCGAGTGCCAGTCCCTCATCCCATGCGAGGTCCGGCACGCCCACTTCCTGCCGCGCCTTGTTGTGCTCCTCCAGAATCGCTGCCACGTCCGCACCGCTGCTACCGTTGCTGCCGCCATCGCCACCGTTGGTGTCACCACTGCTGCTGGTGTCACCACTGCTGCTGGTGTCACCACTGCTGTCGGTGCAGCCACTATGACTGGTGGTGTCAGCCCCGGTCCAGTTACCAGCAGCAACTGAAGCTGTCTCTCCCAGCTGCCGTGCCTTGGCGCTCGGCAGCAGCCTGCGAGCCTCATTGGCACGCTTTGTCACACGGCTAGCAGCGGACGTGACAGCAGCGGATGTGACTCCAGTGGATGTGACGTCAGCAAGTGCTGGCAGAGTGAAGGAAGCAGCGATAATTGCGAATGCTGGCGAAAGGGGTTCGTTAGGGAGGGACAGAGAACAGGATGAGGGGGAGTGAGACGAGCTAACGAGTGGCCCATTAAAGAAAAGAAAAGACAACCATGTATGCAGTAAAGTAACCCAGACACGCATTTCGCGTGCAAAGGGTAAGTTGTGCTGAGAACTGCAGCGCATGTCACGGGAACCCAGCATTGCAGCAAACACCAATGGCTATTCGCAGGGAGAGGAGAGATCCAATGGCTATTCGCAGGGAGAGGAGAGATCACGCGCGAACTCGCACCAACTCATCAAATGCGGCGGATCAAAACGAGACGGTGCTTCCTCCGGAAGGTCGGAACAGTCACCCACTATAGCGGCGTATCAGAAAGGTCGTTCGGAAAGGTCGGAGCACTCACCCAATGCAGCGCAGAGACGCCTCAACAGGCTGACGGCCGCCATGATGTTAGAGAGGCAGCAGAGAATGGGGAAATTCGGAGCCGGAAAACGGCAGGTGAGCTCGCTATCCGGGAATGCGTATGAAATCAGGGCGGAAACTCAGATTGCTCTGAAGGTGGAAATGAGATGGCAGTGGTCTCGAATGCTGTGAGAGTGAGCGATAAATCATGGCTATCGTATGCCTGCTTTTATACTCCAGAGAAGCTCCAGCGGTGAAGGCTGAGGACGGTATCGACTCGAGCTCGGAGGTAGAGGGACGCGCCTCGCTGCGACGTCGTGCAAGACGAAACGGACTGGCAAGACGTCGTCGTCGTGCGACGACGGTCGTCGTGGTGGGGGACTGGCGAGATGGCCGGCAGCAAGCATAATCGCGGGAAAGAGGCCGCGAGGTGGCATCGAAACTGCGTCGCTGGGACAACGAGGAAACTCGTGCGGCAGACTTCGCCTTCCCCTAGCCTTGGAAAAATAATCGTCCAACGATTGCGCGGTAGTCGGTGCAGCGGAGATTTTAAGGCAAGGTCTGTGTCCCACGCAGCAGGGCGTGTCCCTCGCGTTTGTTTAAGGCTCACTGAGGTCGTGTCACACATCGCCCGGACCAGGCAACCCCTCAAAACGCGACGGAATCGTGACTCACGCTTCGTTCTACTAACGAAAGAAGGACAACAAAGAATAGGGTTCGCCATTTGAGAACCGGTCCCCAAACCGGTTAGCGACTTGGGCAAAGATCGCAAATTCCGGTCTGAGCAATTAACGAAATTTTGGAACCGCAAACGAAAATGGTTTGTGTGTTTCACGAATGTCGTTATCGTGATTTCCGAGGCGCCCTCTTTTGGGACCGTGCTCGTGACCGGTCCCGAAGTGATAACCTAGTGCCGGTCCTGTGGGGGCTGGTATCGGTCCTGTGAGGCCGTTTTTGCCGACGCGGCCCATTGTGACACGTCCTAAGTACGCTTGAGTCTGCTACTTTATGTTCCAAAGTGTCGAAGTGTTAGAACCCTTCCCGACCGCGAGGTACCCTTTTGCATCTCACTCATTGAACGGTGAGTGTCCGAGGGGGACACGCCCGAAGGGCTAGGTCCAGCCACGAAAAGGTGTGTTTTGCAAACGTCCCAAGAGGTGGGGAAGAAAACTCTGTTTGCATGCGAATGGTGGCGGGAGAGTGTTGGTGACGAGGTCATTCGGTAATTTGACGAGGTGGGTTACTGTATTACGTGATTTGTTATGAATGAACAAGCAGAGTAGCGCGGAAATGAATAACGAAGTGTTCAATCAGTGAATTACGATGCAAGGAATTGCAAGCCAAGATATAGGAACACCAGAGCTAGTCTAACCATGAGATGGGAAGGTTCGGGAAAGAGATCGAAGAGTCTCGAAGTGACGAAGCGAGGCCCGGTTAACTCTCGAAGGTCGAACTAGAAGGTCTAGAGAAGCCGAGGCGGTTATGTCAGAAAGGTCCGAAACTATTCCGAGGCTTCGGGTGTGTTCGAGCGTACGCGATAGTAGTACCGCTCGGTAAGGAATGGAAAATTCCTTACACCACCCCCCCCTTTAGCGAAGGTGATCTATATCAGCCGCGTGCTTGCTGGCCAAATAATTCGCAAGTATCGAATGTGACTGTATGTGGTCTGAGGGCACCCATGTGTCGTTCTCACTGGTACGATTGGTCCATCGTATCAGAAAGTCAACGTGCCGTCCTTGACCATCGATACGAATCCGATGGCTCAAAATCTTCGAAGGCTCGATGGTCGTCTCCGCTGGTGGCCGTACATCCGGGACCAATCGCTGTCGGACGATGTCCGATGAGTTGGGTACGAAAGGTCGCAACAGGCTCACGTGGAACTTGTTGTGAATACGCCAATCGTCAGGTAGGCGTAACTGGGCGGTCACGGGCGTCACCATCTCCATTATCTTGAATGGGCCACAGAAACGTGGTCGTAATTTTGTCAGTAGTGGCAGTCGTAAATTCTTGGTGTACAAAAGGACTACTTGCCCTACTGCCATCGTAATATCCCGTCGATGTAAATCCGCATACCGTCGGGCAGTAGCGTTCGCCTTGCGATAAGTTCGACAGCTTTATCCCGGGCAGTCTGTAATTCTTCGACAAAGTGCTGCAACCGTGGTAATTGACTCTCGATATTGGTAGAGATAGGTATTGTGGGGTCCATTCCGTAATTGAGGTAAAACGGGGAGTGATTAGTCGTGGCTGAGGGAGCGTTGTTGTAGGACCAACATGGGAAGCGTGTCCTCCCATTTGTTTCGGTTGGGGCAGTTTGTCCGAATCAGCTGTTCCATCGTTTGGTTTGTCCTTTCTGTCTGGCCGTCTGTTTTGGGATGATAAGCAGATGAGAACTGTAGACGCGTGTCGTACCGAGCCCACGTGTCCTGCCAAAATTTCGACGTGAACTTCGGATCTCTATCGCTAATGATTGCTGTTGGTATCCCGTGTAGGCGAACAATGGCCGAGATGAACGGGCACGCGGTTTCTTTGGCTATGATAGTTGTACGACATGGTGCGAAATGCGCCATTTTCGTCAATCGGTCGACGACGACCAATACTGCGTAATTTCTGTTGGATCCGGCCGGTAGACTTGTGACGAAATCCATTCTCACGTGTTGCCATGAGCGTTGAGGTGGCTCGAGGGGCTGCAACAGTCCTGTCGGTCACTGATGTGATGATTTCATTTGCTGGCAGATCGAACACGCGGTCACGTAACGCTGCACGTCCGTCACAATATCTGGCCAGTAATAAAACCGTTGCAACACTTTCAGAGTTTTATCAACCCTGAAATGTCCCAAAAAATTGGAATCGTGGACTTCTTGAATTAGTAATTCGCGAAGTAGACGATAACTTGGGACCCAAATTCGATCCGTCCCGCTTCATAAGTAATAGACGCCTTTCCGTGTAGTAATTTGGAGATGGCCGTCATTTACGAAGAAGGGTTCAGTCGAATACCCGTGGGTAAATAGTCCACTTAGTTGCGGGTTGCTCTGGGCGACTAGTACTGCTGCGAGTTGGGCAGACGGTCTGGAGAGGGCGTCAGCAATATTGTTGGCGCCCTTGTTGTACGTGATATTGTACGTGAAATTGTACGTGAAATTGGACTCCAGATTGTCAAGCCAGCGTATCTGCCGCGGGTTGAGATTCGGCTGCGCCCTCAGGTACTATAGAGATTTGTGATCGGTTCGCACCGTCACGTCTGCTCCAGTCAGGTAGCACCTCCAGATTTTGAACGCGTGGACAATCGCCAGCATCTCCTTGTCGTGTACCGGGTAGTTGCGCTTAGCAGATTGCATTTTCCGAGACTCGTACACGATTGGTTGAAGGCCATTGTCGAAATAATGCATGAGCACCGCTCCGATGGCGATGTCACTTGCGTCGGTGATGACTTCGAAGGGCCGTTCCAGGTCAGCGATGCGAAGTACCGCTGGTGATATTAAAAGAGTTTTTAATGCCTCGAACGCAGCTTGCTGCTTCTCCCCCCACTCGTAACAAGTCCCCTTCTGCAGTAGGTCGGTTAGAGTTCCAGTTAACCCCGCCATGTTGGGTATAAACAGCCGCACGTAATTGTAAACGGTAAATCTGGCTGTTGGTGATGACGCGCGGCTGAGGAAATATTGTAATGATGACATGAGGAAGGACGTGGCCGATGGTTTGTCGAACTGGAAGGGACCGTTCATCAAGTCGCGAGGTTGTTCCTGACACATACAAGCACACGCGCGCGTTCGTGGCTTTGGAAGTCAGCGAACTCCATCAACGAATAGACGAACGTTGACAAGGAAGCGTAACTGAAACGCCTGTCGGGCAGAGATGGATAATAGAACATGCCGTAGGGGTCATCAAAAGTTTGCAGCACAGCTGCACTTCTCCCCCCCTCCAAGAAGAAACAGTACAGCTTTCAACGAGCTAATTAAAACAGGGTAGTCAAAGTAAACCCACACCGCGGCTTGAAGATCCAGCAACTCTGCTGCGAGGATGCTTGAAAAACTCCAACCGGTAGAACGTCCAAACAGCTCCAAAGGAAGATTCTGCTGCAGGGCAACCGCTTCTGAGGTTCTGAAAATCAGCGACAACTACTCCAGAAGACTCCAACGAGCTGAAAAAATTCCGCACACAGTCAAAATATGCTGGCAAGCTAGCCCCAACACAGCTGCAACAGTCCCGTTTCCAAATCTTCGTGTTTGGATACTGCTTCGGCGGATGGCGAATGGCGCGGGCGGTCGTGTTTACACAGGCGAGCGAAAATAAGCGAGTTGAGGATGGAGGTGGTAGCGGGGGTTGGCGAGAGGTTGACGATGATGGCGAAGGAAGGTAACCTGTATTAGAACACTCCAATGAACACCTCGAGCCGACCCAAGGTCAAATGACGCCAGCTGCAGTAGCTTTTGTTGTCCGTACACACCGAAATTTTCTGCAAGGGCCAAAACAGCCGCCACTCTCGTTTTCCTCCATGAAATCAAAGCAATTCGAGAATGTCGGGCAATGTCGTTCGTACCCCGGAAGATATCGGGTACCACATCAGCGGTCAACACAGAGCCGCTCCACGCGGTGTTATCGAAAACCCAGGGACCGCTGCCGTGAAACCAGCTGCAACACTGCTTCGAAAAACCCGTAAACGTCGGAGACACGATGCCCAGCTGTGAACATGAAGTGCGACCCAGTTCGTCGGGTAGACTGCACGACATGCCCCTGAACTTGGCTTCTCCCACAACTCCGCTTCACCGCTACGCAGGTACTCCCAAACTGCTGGTGCTTAACAGCTGCGCCGCTGGTTCCCGAAGAATTCCCCGTTTGGCACTGGGCGTTGAGCAGTGGCCGACTTTCACCCGTCATTGCGCCCGCCATAACACCAAAACAGATCCTAGGCTTTCGTGCCTTGGCAAGTAGCCCCATTAACCAGGGACGACTCCCGAAAGCATCGCCGCACTCCAAAAACTTCGGACACAGTGTCGAACTCCAGCTCGAACAGTGTTGTCGCAGCTGCCCCGACAATCTCGGCAGGTCGTCGTTCACCCAACTCCCCGCTTTTATCGGTCATACCAGAAACGCACGTGCGGCGAGCGCACAAACTCCTCTTTTTTTTTTCATACTGTTCGGGAGACGTTGTTTCTTGGGGCGTTGGCCTGTCTCCACAGCTGTTTCCCTAGAAAAACGCAGGCGCCACTGTCGTTTTCTGGGAAATCCGCTTGGCATGAAGATCGTCCACGACATCCGCAATTGTCGGTGCCGATTTTATCGGATGCCAGGAACAGCTGCCGCCGATACTGCAGAAACAGTAGGCATGAAGGTGGCCGATTCCGAACTTTTTGGAAGTTAACGACACACGCCGGCCCACGCTGCGTCGCTCCTGCCGGAAATTATCATGACGCACCCACCTGGCAGCAATCCGCTCCCGCATAATTCGGGTAGCTGGCACGTGTCTTCTCTCCTCGTCAGGATAATTCCTGACGCACATTCCTCGTGCGCCTGGCGAGC